GACAGATATTTATTTGACATTAAAAGCAAAACAAACTTCGATATTACTTTTATAATTAAAAAGGAAATAATATTTATTTCACATACGTTATTGATATGTACAACTTACAGGATAGTCATATTGTTCATACCTTGAACCAGGGAAAAAACCTCGTGTCATTTAAAATTTTTGCCGGTGTGTCGTCTTGGTTACGTGGCCTGATAACCGTTGATGCAAGCTTGCACAATGCCCGCATAATAATTTTTATATGCCGACAAATTGTTTCCGTGGAGTGCTGAAATCTATCTGCCAATAGTCGATGACGATCATTTTGTGCAAAAGTGTATAAAAAAATTCCAAGCGATTCCTCGACACTTATATGCATATGCTCAATATCGATAAAGCCATTGTGGAGTAAAGTGTCTTTCAATAAAATGAATGTTTGTGCATCCATTCGCGTAATGTTCATCATTGTTTCTGGATGGCTAGTTAATAGGCCGAAGATGTAATCATCACCTTTGAATGGACACGTTCGCTGCGGTCGGCGAGTACTTGAGGCGTTGATTTGGTCATGCATGCAAGCAATCATCAAAAAATCCATAAAATCATCAGTAACCTCATCCTCGTCTGATGAGATCTCCATTGAATTATTTTCTCTGTCGGATGACATATGGTTTTGTCTACATCACAGTAAAACCATAATTATAAAATATGTCATTAATGCTGTAACACATACCATTAATGGTGAAATAGAATTAAAAAGGAAGTATATGAATAGTCGGCCGTAGTTATTTTTCAGTGTACACTAAAATTCATAGAAGGACAAAATTTATTTAATACGTGCTCATATTGTCATAACACAACATAATAGATAAGAAAACATAAATTACTTAAAAGTTCAAAAAAAAAAAAAAACATACGAAGATAGGAAAGGGAAGAGGATATCATGGAAGGAAAAAGAAAAAAAAAACCAAGTAAGGAATAATGAAATAATTTTTTAGTTCAGACAGGGAGATTTGATAACGCAATCAATGAGGAGCTTCTGACTTCACTGCAAAGCGAGGATCATGGGTAGGCGCAAATGGGTAGGAGTGCGCATAAAAAACCTTCGCCATTCCTTATCCTTGAACAGTGTCAGTGCCTTAATGTACTGCACTGGTGGTATGTCCCCAAGCTCTAGTAATGCATGTTGACATGCATCAAGAGAGTAATCATCACCACCTGCACTTACAGCCTCTGTCTTATTTTCTTGTGCACATGAATGTCCTGTTTTTGCTTGTACATAGGATGTGAAAGCTGCGCACACATCATCAAACCCACTTGACCGTGACTTTTTATAACGACCACTGTCAGTCTGGCTGGTTGCAGGGCCCCTCTTGTGACTTTTGCCCTTTGCTGGATCCATGTACTCATCCCCAAATAAGTCAACAGGAATTGCCTCAGCAGCGTTACTCCCACCAGCATTACTCCCACCAACATCAGGGTTCCAAAATTTATTTAACATGTCATCTTCTTCTTCTGAGTCAAGGGCTCCTTGTGTGGATGCACGAGATAAGGCCCCTGTGGCACAACAATTTTCAACAATTTCTGCCATTCCTTGAAAATATTCAAATCCTTTTGTCCTAAACTTCTTCACATTACTGTTGGCCTACAACAAATACAAATAAAGAATTAAGCACTGTATGTATCATGAAATCTTTAAATTAAAATTATTTAATAGTACAGATTAATGAACAACCTTATCCCAAAATTCATCAGGTGCAACAACAGTGCTTACAATTGGATCCCATCCCAGACCAGTCTGTGCCTGGAGTCGCTTAAATGTCTGATAATCAGCTTTCAATCGCTAATATTTTTGGCGCACCTGTGTTGCTGTATACCGAAATCCATACAGATTGTGCACCTGATTTGCATAATGATTCCAATGCCTAATTGTCCACGAAGTAGTACGGCCAGTTGTTTGATTTTTTCTAACCTCATCTCTCAACATATTTATTAATTTTGTTTCACTTCTGGCCGTCCACATTTTTGTTTCTTGGTTGTCATCAGAATTATTTTCATCCATCTATAAACATACAAATGAAATTTAAACTAGTCTGGGGTAGATATACAAGACAAACAGATCATAACAGAACAAAATGATTTCAAAGAGAACACAGATAAAAAAAAAAGCAGATGATATTATTTAAAGGAAAAAAATAGCGTAACAGATTACTTTAATTTAAATAGCAGAAATATAACCACAACTAATAAAAAAAAATCAGGTAAAAAAATCAGGTAACATTATCTTTGAATGGTAGGAGAAAACCAGTAAAAAAGATTTAAGGAAAATGGGACGGGTAGAAAATGAAGTAGGAAAAAAACCAATAAATAAACCAGTGAATGTAGTTGAAAAAGGGATGGGTAGGTCGACCGGTCGGATGACCCCGGGGACGACCGGCCGGGTGTCCAGGTACACCGACTCAAGTTGTTCACAAGTTCTTTTCTTGCAGAAGGTTCAAACAGCTCACAATTGAAAACAACAACCGATCTGAAATGAGAAATAGGCGTCCACAAATTATGAGAAACCATTTGGGAACTAGTTTTAACTTCTCAAAAATTATTTATATATAACAGATTCAGATTGATTTAGCAGCTTACTGCTATTCTTCTTCGCAAAAGGTGAAACAGTTCAGGAAAATAGAAAACATCTTAAAATAAAAAAAATAGTCCCTTACACTTCTCAGAAAATATTTGAGAACTGATTTCGACTCGTATAAAATCGTTTGCAGTTGAAGGATATATTTACCAGATTAGTGGGAATTGAATAATTATCGCCGGTGATGGAATGTGTATACTGACTTAATGTAGCACTGTTTCTTCGTCGGATTCGACAATAAATTTCATAAATTTGACCTGAAAGAAAAATAAAAGAAAATTAGGGATGAATTTTTCAAATCATTTTCGTATAACAAAATATGTAAATAAATTTGTGAGTTCTTTTACGTCGCAGTCGTCGTTGTTTCGTTGCCCGTAATAAGAATCTTCCACAACGCACAAATCGTAAGGAACTCGATTTGTGAAAGATGATACCAGTATAGAGCGGGTTGGGTGGATTCATTATTTATAAAATCAGTCTTCTCTGTGAAGCCCACCCGTGATGAATCTGAAGTATTTGAAGTACTGATGCTTGATAGAGAAGCCTACCCGTGATCAATATAAAGGACTAATGTTTGATACAAAGATGAGCTTCACGTGAATATTTCGGAGACGATGGAATATTTCAGAGACGATGGAGACGACATAGAAGGACATGGAAGAATGCACAAGCGTTGAAAGTAGAGATACAACCTGCCAAACAGGTTTTCATACTATAATTTGAATTCACACCCGGAAATGTATTTTGAGTGTTCTATCCAAACGTGAAGCGCGAGTTTACATGTTGAAAACTAATTTGAAAATACAACCAAACAGACCCTTTGACTTTTTGGTATAGGTTCTAAGCTTTTTAATTTTTTAATTACTTTTTGGCTTTTAAACAAACACATGCTAAACGAGGCCTAAGTGTCTATTAAGGCCAAGTTTGGGAAGACTAAATAAGTGTACTTTTTGACTTTTTATGAAATATGGGTTGGATTTGGGTTGGGTTTGAAGTGATGTGTTAGAGAGGTGATGTGACTTAAATGAGATGATATGACTTAAATAGGATATTGACTTTTTGACTTTTTGGATTTTTTAGAAGATGCCAAACTTGGCCTAAATGGCCTATTAGTTGTAATCTATAAATAGGTAATGTAATATTCTTTTGTACTTAGTTTTGGATTAAAGAATATAAATTGTGATTGGATTAGTGCTTGATTTCTCTAGTTCTTGGGGATTTTTACCCTTAATTGGGGCTTTTGTCTTGTTTCTCTCAATTTGATTCTTGATTTGCATTTGGATTATTATATGTGCTCTAATACTATTCTTTATTTATATATTTATCCACACAAATTAGTTTAAAATGCGTTCCAAAATTCTTCAAATGTACCTAGCTTAGAAAATTTTTGTTAAAATAACTATTACTATGTTGGTGTTTGGGAAGTGGATTTTTATGTAGGTTTTTTTAGGGGTCTTTTGGGAAGTGGGTTATAATTCACTTCACAGATTATAACCCAATTTCCTCTCTCACAAAAATCAGTTTATAATCAGCTTTTAACCAAAAAGTTGATTATAACCATCTTTCCAAAATAGCCCTTAGTTGTAGGATTTTATTGGAGAAATTTTTTTTGGTGTTTGGGAAGATAGTTGGGTTTTTTTGTGGTTGGATGTGATGTTTGTGAGAGAAAAAGTGAAATGATTATGGGGTTGGATGTGATATTTTGTTTGGATTTATTTTTTTTAATTTTGCAAAAAATTTGTCTTTTAGTGAAGAAAATCAATAAAAACCCCACACACAAACTTCCCAAACACCACCTATAACTAATCCGATCGAGAGAGTAAAAAATTAATGGAAAAATATCAATACTTTCAAAAACTAATTACAAATTAATAATAAATTTTATAAATATTAATAATTAAAATTATATATTTTTTTCATTAATAAGTAAATATTTTTTCAATTTTCCAAAACCGAAGAGAGAGACAATTCAAGGTTTTGATTTTTTGGTGAGCTTTGATTTTTCATCATATTTTTTAGCAAAATAAAATATATATATATATATATATAAAGGAAATACTCTAAGCTAAAGCACATTAGGGCATCTCTAATTCTTCATCAAATATTTTATCAAATTCAAAATTTTTGAAAAATTAATTAAAATAGTGCTTCAATTCAAAAGAATTTTTATTCTTCTATCAAATTTTACAAGTGACTGTTAGTTTTAAAAAGGCTTCAACTGGCTGAACAACTTGTGTGTCAACTGAATTTTAGAATGAATTAAAAATTTTATAAAATGATTTAATAAAAATTTATTCTAAACAGAACAACTTGTCAATTTGATAAAATTTTTTTTGAATTTATCATTAAAATGTATCATGTCAGATTCTTCACTGAATTTTTGATCAAGCGAGCGAAATTATAAGTAAATGGGAGTTAGATGGGAGCTAACGTCTTATTGAAGTTTAAAAACTCAATTTTCAAAGTTTCATTTTAGAGCAGAATTTAACAAAGCAGAGACTAGCAAGCCGGCAGTTTACTCCAATCCAACCCTGGCATCTTCCGGTGAGAGCTCTCTCTCTCTCTCTCTCTCTCTCGCTTGCTCTATACATATACAAATATATATGTCTTGTCTCAGTATCTTCTTCTACATTCTCTAATGTTTAATTTGTTTCACGTTAACCCTAATTTACAGTCTACGCTTTGGCTGTCTTTTATCTTTGTCACATCACTGGATTCATAAACCCTATCCCCAATCTACTCAGATCAGTAACACTCCGTTTGGATCGCCAGGTGAGAAAATAACTGAAAGTTACCGATCCATCCCATTTCATTTTCAGTCTTACCCAATTTCACAGAAGTTTCAATTTTTTTCCAAATTCTACCCAATTTTGACCCTTTCTTGTACAAAAGCAAAAGTTGAGCAGTGATAATGTATGATTATTTGTTTTCTCTACTCTTTCTTGCAGATTTGATTCAACATTGTAAGCAATTGAACAAGAGAGAGAGAGAGAGAGAGAGAGAGCATGAGTGAGTTAATTTCCGGAGGCGATCCAGCAGTAACCGAATCCAAGAGTGGGTTTGATGCTAGTCGAATTGCGGAAGTAAAAGCGTGGCTTGCCTCTCAATTCGATGCGGCTGGAAAAGATGTCCCTGATTTTGAGTACACTCCACGAAGCATTGCTCATTTGCACAACCTTGCCACAATTTCCCAGGCCAAAACTCAAGCTGCTGGAATCGTCGCCAATGATTTCCGCCAAAAAGCCGCTGAATATCGCTCCCAAGGTTATTTGACCATCTCCAACCCTTCACCAATTTTTTCATCCGATTTGATTCCAAATTTGAGTAAAAAAGCTTGATTTGATATGAACTACTCTAATCCTTTCATCAAATTTTCATCAAAATATTTTTAAAAATTCCACTCTTATTCCAAATTTCTCTCTTCACCAAATTTGATGGAAAAAAAATAAAAATAAAATCTCCAATGCTTTTATCTTTTTAAAGCTTCATCAATTTTGAATTTAATGAATGATTTGATAAGTTCTCAATTTAATGAAAAAATTGACTCTCACTTGATTTGATGAACATTTGATGAAAGGATTGGAGATGATTTTTGATTATTTTTTCATCAAATTTAATTTTAATGGAAGAAAAGATGAACGATTGGAGATGCCCTATATGCCCACTAGAGGTGGACACACACACATTTAAAATAACATTATTTGAAGTATTTGGAATTTGGATGTGATAATTATGGCAGTTATTTGAAGTAGTTGGACCTAAGATAATTGAACGGTTTAGATCATTTATCAAATTTAGGAGTATCTGGGAAAAGTAAAAAACATGACAGTTTACACCAACATAGATATAGATTTTATATAATAGTCTAGATATTTGTAGTAGACTTGTTTCTTTGGTATACTAATTTTCATGCTCAGTGTCTAGTTGGAATTATTTTGAAACATTTTTATGATTCTAGCTGCAAGGATTAGAGAGATATTGGAGAATGTGGGATTGGCACATGACAGTTTGCCAGCAAATGTGATTTCATCGGCACAAGTTCTGTCAAATGTGGCAAATTTGTTGAATATTAGAGATACTGAACTAAGTAGGTGGGTTTTCTTTCAGTTCTAGATTAATTTTTGTTTCACTTACATTTTCATTCTTATTAGTTATTAGAAGTAGATTCTTACTTGAAGGAAATGCACTTAGTTTTCTTGTAGCAATGGGGGATATTTCTTTGAGGAAGACGGGAGTAGAGGAGAAGAGGGCTAAAGTACAAAATGAGTCCAAAATTCTTCTCGATTACACTCGAAAGGCAATAGCCAGGCTGACTTATTTAAAAAGGTATTCTTCAATACTACTCTTACGCTGTGTTTGGATCATGGATTTGGGTAAGAAGTTGGAAAAAGAAAGGAAAAGATGAGAGAAATAAAGAAAAAATTTAACTTATATTTCATTCACGTTTCCCATACCTTTTTGTTTTTCTCTCTAAATCCCTACCTAAATCAATGATCCTAATACAATCTTAGGTTCTTATCTAAATTTGTTTCTAGTACCTGAGCGGAGGTGCTTAGGAACTTGAGTTTTGTGAACAATAAACTTTCTTTTTTTCTTCTTCATTTTTTTTCCCTTACATGTTTTCTTCTCTTTATAATTTGTATCTGTAGGACACTTGCACAACTTGAAGATGATGTGGTTCCTTGTGAGTCTCAAATGGAGAATTGGAAGACAAACTTAGCAATAATGATTTCGAAGGAGCGACAATACCTGCAACAATATGCCAACTATAAGGTACCATCCTTCTATGTTCAGTGTTGTCATCTTGTGCTTCAGGGATACTGTGTTTCCCAAAGTCACGGTTCAGTCTTACTTTGTTTCCAGAAATTCACTTTAATATCTTATTAATGAATTTCTTGCTATTTCATTTTTTCTTTCTAAGAAGTTTGAAAACTAATTATTTTGTTGGAAATACGTGGTGGGCTAGACACACCTCAAATCACAACGGGGGAGAAAAGTGAATAGGAAGAGACCACTTTATAATTTTTATTTTACTAAATCATGGGTTATTACACCATACTCCATCTCAATTCTCATTTCACTCCTTTTCACTTCTCTATTTAATCCCTAAAATACATAGTGGGTGTTTGGGATGTTGTCATTTTAGTAGGTTTTTTTAGTTTTTGATTATTTTAGGAGGTTAAAATTTTTGTATTTGGGAAGATAGTTGGGTTTTTTTGTAATTGGATGTGATGTTTGTGAGAGAAAAAGTGAAATGATTATGAGTTTGATGTGACATTTTGTCTGGATTTGTTTTTTTTTTTTGGTTTTTTAACCAATTTTGTCTTTTAGTGTTTTTTTAGCAAAATAAAATAAAAATAAAAATAAAAACACTTCCCAAACACCGCCATAGATATTTAGTATGCTAAGAACATGAACCAAGACATTAATGAGTCATGAACATGAACCACTTCATACATGATATAGACATTTAATTATCTAAATCAAGTTTACTTCTCAACATATTTTACCAAATAGATCAATGTATTTTTTGTTTTGCTCTTTTTTTTGGTACAATGAGCTGACGTAGTGCCCCCCCCTCCCCCTCTGCGCGGGGGGCCCGGACACATTGTATATTATTAGGTCCATCTTATATTTGGGTTTCCTGGTTTGTTTTCCTTGCTGTTAATTACTTAAAATCATTAGGAGCAAAAGTTGTCTTGTTTTTGCTGAAGTGTACTATAGTAAGCACTTTAGAAATCTAAGCCTTTGTTTGGAAGAGCTTTGGAATTGTAATTCCACCTCTTAGTTTGCACGTGGTGTTTGGTTGTAGTTTTCAAAAATTAATTCTACTTTTGAATATTCCTTCTCGGACGTTCGGCCGGTTGACCGGAACAGTGTATGTTTTTTTTTTTTTTTTTTTTTTGCATTTTTGCACATGTTATTTTTATATTTTAAATAAAAAAAATATTTTTAAAATTTTTTATGAGTTTTGAATAGGATTTTGGATTGTATATTTGGTTATGAGTTGTAAGTTTTTTAATTAAATATCATATGTCACATCATTCATTTCAAACTCAATTCAAAACTCTTTTCAAAACTCATAACCAAACAAATTTTCCACACTCAAATATAATTCCAAAACTGACAAGCTCAAAATACAACTTCTATTCTCAAATCATATTTAGAAAACTCTACCAAATGCTATATATTTGTAGGAAGCCCACTTTTAGACATTGTCACACTAACACTGCTAGTATGAGCACACCAAGCCAAATATCTTAAGTGCACTAGTGGTTGTTTGAAGGGAGCTTAAAATGTAACTATCTTTTTGTTGTTGTTAAGTCACCAATTATCCCAAAAGCTTAAGTTATTAGGAAGTAGGCCCAACAATGTATATCAAGCTATCCAACAGTTTCCTTCACGTGCAACCCCATCTTGCACGTGGTGAGACAACGAGAGAACCATACAAAACGAGAAGTAAATAACCAAACAGAGAAGAAGAAACTAAACGGGGACCAAATATCAAATGCTAACGGAGAGACTTAAACCCAAAACCTTTCTCAAGTGGAGCTTTGATAACATGTTAAGTCACCTATTATACCAAATGCTTGAGCTGTTAGGAAATGGACCCAATAATGTATATCAAGTTACCCATCAATTGTACTTCTAGAACTATTTTAAAATCTATATACTGTTATTTGATATGGAGGACTTGTATTTTAGGGCATTATAGTCTTTTTGGCAAGCTGTTAATTAAGTTCTAAGGGGTTTTGAAATGGTTAAAGCCCATTTGTCAAGGTAATTACATAGCACTGCCAGAAGGAATAAACCAATTTAAAATATATGCAAAACTCAAGCAACACTTATGTTACGTGGAAAGGGTATGGGTGTGTTAGGTGTGGGTATGTGTCCAATTCATCTAATCTCATGTCCAAGGGCACGGGTAGATGGCAAAATATTCATAATGCTTAATATGCTTGTTTTATTTTCTAGGCTAAATTGGTGTTCACAAGGGGCCTTCAAACATTTTAGGCATAACATGTGGTTTTTTTTACTTAGTTTTATGGTTTACTCGATTCACTAATATGCTTGCTATGTGCATGTTCACCTGCAACTGGTTGACCGCATATCCCATATCCTTACCCAAGTGTTGAGTGTCATACACAGGGACTTCTTAACCCCAGGGATATGCTTGACAGGTGTAGTTGAACAGGTGTAGAGTGTACGTGGTTGAGTGTATGTGGTTGATTGTTGAGTGTTGGGTGTATGTGGTTGACAACTGTATTAACATGGGGGGTTTTATGCCTAGTTTTATGGTTAACTCAATTCACTAATATGCTTGCTATGTGAATGTTCGACCCTGGAGTGTCAACTGTTTGGCACAAGTACTTCATACACTTCCAAAATATTGCTGCTTATGTTGTGGTTCAAAACTATCTGATTGTAATTTGTTATAGAAAACCTGTAATTTTTCTTTAGTATCTATTTGTTATAGGTGGTGCATATGCTCCTAAACATGTAGTACTTTGACAGGTGAAAAGTATGTTTAGTGATGTTGAACGACCTACTTTCAAAAGGCAATTGATTTCAATCATCTTTCTTGCATCAGGTGTATGCTATAGTCTCATGAGTTAAGGTCCCAAACATTTATCAAAAAAAAAAAACTTAAAGGTCCCAAATTGTTACAATAATATCTTTGGTTATTGTGTATTGATTATTCTATTAGCTGTTATTTCCTTATTTTATTATTTCCGTATTTGTGCCTCCAAGGCTTCGATTGTAAGCTACCTATTATCAATATAAAAGGGGATGATTGTCTAATCATTCCCTAAATTTGTTCTCTCTTAACAAACAACTACCCCACCCAAGTACCCAAATAAGGTTTTCTTGACCCATGTAACTTGGTTAAAAAGTGGTAAGATTGCTTTTGTTCACAATAATAAGTATTGTTTTTTCAACATAATATCTCTTGCTGCACTAACTAGTGACCACTCCCTCCGTGCCAATTTATTTGTTCATTGTAGAAAGACCAACTTATTAAGGAAACATGTAATTGTTACATTTTAATTCAAATTTTGAAATATTTTTCCCACCATTGTCCTTCTATTTTAATTTTAAAATGTGTTTATAATGATTTATAAGGGGCATTTTTTGAAATCTGACAAAACTTAGTATCCTAAAATAGAAAGTGGCAAACATTTTGGGACAAACTAAAATGGAAAGGTGGACCAACAAAATGGGACGGAAGGAGTAGTAGCTAGATCACAAAAATCTATTTTTCAAACCCATCAAGGCTAGAACATTCTTCAATTTCATTCTTGCTTTAGTAAAAGTAGTAGAATACCCCCCTATGTATAGAAATAACAGAAGGTGGAATCAATCAATGTGTTTGGTTTCAAGTTTCTGAATTCAGTTTTATGAAAACTGAATTTTTTGTTTTTTGTGTTTTTTTTTTTGCTTTTAGTAAATATTTTTAAAATTTTAAGCATTTTTTTTTTTACTTTTTTTAGATGCACCTTACTTAGATGTATCTAAAAAGTAAAATATTTGTAAAAAAATATTCAAAAAATTAATAAATACACAAAAATACGAAAAATATACTGAATTTTTGTTTTTGTTTTTTTATTTTTATTTTTGGTATTTAGTGAATTTTTTAAAGATGTTTTTCACGAAAATTATACTTTTTAAATGTATTTATATTAGGTGTATCTAAATATTAAAAAAATTGCTTAAAATATTAGAAAAAATTAGTAAAAACAAAAAAAAAATGGAAAATAAGAAAATAAAATTTTCTTAAAAGTGTTTTTAGAAAACCCAAACCAAGCAAAGTGAATAGTTTCCAAAAAATATGGTGAACAAGAAATGTACCTAAGAAGAAGATGAAGTGGTGAGTAAACTAGAACTATGAAGTATCACTAGTAAGAAGAATTATGGTGACATATCAAACCTACTGTACCACAAATGATTGAAGATTTTAAAATAACATAATATTGAAATCTATCAAGCTTTCTCTCGACTTCCACTTAAGAATTGAATTTGAACCAATTGCCCAATGTCCTTTCTATCAAGCTTTCTTATTATTTGTATGGATATTGGATGTATCGACTAAGCATTATTAATCTGTTTTTATATGCCAGAAAAAGAGAGAACACAATTTTGAAGGCTAGTTGTTTCATGATGTGTCTATAATTTTAATCTTAAACAAACTAATCTTGCAAGCTGTACAAGGATGATGCCAATGTCATTATGCAATACTGTTTATGTATGTTTATTAGTGTGTGTGTCTTTTTTTAATCATATTAATCGACTCTGTTTTTTTAATCACTGCCCTCAAAAACTTGAAATGGATTTTGTACAGCTCTTGCCTTTGCATGAACAACTTAATTTTTGTTGGAATTTGTGCTGTTGTTATGCAAAGGGACATGTCATCATGCTATGTTACTTTGAGAAATGTAAGCTAAAGTCCCACTGTAATGATAATTTAGAGCTTTGGGACACTTTTGCTTTTGTAAGATACATAATAAAAGTCTGTTATGTTCTTCTTTTTCTTTTTTGTAAATTTGTTCGAGTTAAGTAGGAGGTATTGACTTAAAAGATTGCCTGGCACTTCCTTGCATAATAGCATTTTGCAAGTTCAAATAGTTCACGTGGCCTTTATCTTTATTGATAGGCTTAAAAGTAAAGGAAAAATGATTTGGAGCTCTAATTGTTGAGCTCTAGGAGAGCTCTAAACAGGTGGGTCCCATCTGTTTGTGTGTGTGTGTGTTTTTTGTTTTTTGGCCACATCATTA